GTGGTCATTTAGAGCTGGGAATATTTTGGAACAGGCTCTTCTGCCTTTCATAGTTTTCACTGAAAGGTCAGCTGTTATCCTAATGAGTTTTCCTTTATATGTGATTTGTTGTTTTTCTTTTGCAGCTTTCAGTATTGTCTCTTTTTTCTGAACATTTAGTGTTTTTACTATGATGTACCATTGAGAGTTTCTTTTATGATCCTATTTGGTGTTCTATATGCTTCTTGTATTTGTTGGGCATGTCTTTTTTAATTTTGGAAAATTTTCTTCTACAATCCTGTTGAAGATCTGTTCCATACCATTTTCTTGAGATTCTTCTCCTTCTTGTCTGCCTATGATTTGTAAGTTTGGTATTTGATGGTGTCACACAATTCCTCCATATTCCCTACTTGTGTTTTTTGAAATTTTTCATAATCTTTGCTTGAGTGGTCTAATTGTCCACTTTATCTTCCAGTCTTGATATTCTGTTTTGCATTTCATTCATCCTATTGGTGAGGCTTTCTTCTGTCTTTTCTAATTGGCTTACAGGGTGTTTCACTTTCTCCTTTATTTCAGCCTGGGTATTCTTCAAGATTTCTAACTCTTTTTTGAATTCATTCAGAATTTTCTCCCTATCTTCCTTCAGATCTTTGATTTCTTTCTTTGTGTGTTCTTTCAATTCACTGTATTCTTTTATCATGTTTATAATTTTTCTTTTGAGTAGCAAGTCCTGTGTTATCTTTAGGGTGTTCTCATTGTACTCCTCTAGAGGGGTATTGGTACTTGGTGGTGTATATTATTTTGGTTTTTCATGTTATTGTTTTTTCTTTGTGACTCTGACGTGAATTTTTTTCATAGTTTCTGATTCTTGTGTGAAACTCAAGCCTTCGTTGATTTTAGATGTGCTTGTTTTTGTAAACTTTATGTGCCTTTATGGTTTACTTGTTGGGCAAGAAAGGCTGGTTGGTCTAGTCTTCAGGTTCTCTCTTTTGATTTTATATTGGAGTGGCCTAATTACTTTTGTCTTCAGGAGTTTCCACAGAGGCCCAAATGAGATGAGGCTCAGATGGTATCAGACTTTCTCCTAATATATGGGTCCCTCCAGGAAAGATGCTGCCATCAAGAATTTGGTGGCTGGGCTGCCCCGGGAGAAGGGCCCAGGATAGATGATGGTCTCAGGAAGCTGGTGGCTGACCCAGGGAAGCAAAGGGAGGTGAGGGCAGGACCAGGCCTAGAGGGTTCCTGGGGGCGGCAGGGAGGAAATGGGTTGGTCCCCATGCAAAGCGTCTGGAAGCAGTGGCGGCTCTGGGTTGAGGTTTTAGCCGGTGTCTGGGGTGCCAAGACAAGAAATGGGCCTGTACCCAGCCTAGGAGGAGAGACTCAGAGATGGGAGCTGTGAGGGTGAAAGAAGCTGGGGGGAGTCAAGGCAGGCTTGGTGCACTGGACTTACCCAGGGAAGGTGCTGGGACCAGGCAACACATGGGAGGCTCTGCAGCCCTGGAAGGAAAGGGATATGATGGCGGTAAGTGGTCCAGAGGGCTTCTGGGGACCAAGAAGGTGCTGGCATGAGGCTGCCCAGAGGCTGTTCAGCCCAGGGAAGTAAGTGAGGTGAGGACGGGACCAGGCCTAGAGGGTTCTTGGGGATGGTAGGGAGGAACTGGGTTTGTCCAGATGCAGAGGATCAGGAAACAGTGGTAGCTCTGGGCCGAGAGGTTGGCCCAGGTGTCTGGGGTGCCAGGACAAGAAATGGGCTTGTACCGAGCCTAGGAGGAGAGATTCAGTGGGGGAGCTGTGAGGGTGAAAGAGGCTGGGGGAGGCAAGGTGTGCTGGGCACGCTGGACTTACCCAGGGAAGGTGCGGGGACCAGGGCAAGGGAGACTGTGCAGCCCAGGAAACAAATGACAGAAATAGTTTTAGTTTTTATAAGAATTAATGACCATGTGGTGGGAGAGATGACTGCTCTTACAGAGGACCCAGATGCTATTCCCAGTACCCACATGGAGGTAAACACCAGGCATAATTCCACTTCCAGGGGTTCTAACACCCTATTCTGACCTCTGTGGGCACTGCATGGCACAGGTGCACCTACCTACATGCAAGCACTCATATACATAAAATTAAAAAATACATAAAATATTTAAAAAATATAATGACCACATGGATGAATCAAACAGATGTATAAATTAAGACAATCTATCCAAGACCTTAACAAGGTAGAATCCAAAGTAAATGAAGCAGTCAATAAACAGAAGGCAAACCTTCAAAACATGGAGGAAAAATTCAGCAAGGAAACTGAAATACTGAAAAAGAACGAAACGGAAATACTTGAAAAGAATGAGACGGCCAATCAAATAAAAACCACAAAAGATATTAGAAAAACAAATTTCAAGGATAGAGGATAAACTAGAGACAATAAAAGAAATAGACGTATATACAGAAAAAAAAAGCAGCCTGCACAAAACATTTAAGAAGTCTGGAATATGTTCAAGGGGTCAAACCTAAGAATTCAAGGTGTAGAAGGAGCACAGATAAAATCAAATGGAATATACAGACTATTCAATGAAATTATAGCAGAAAAATGTCCAAACCTAGGAAAGGAAGCTGACATTAAAACATAAAAGGTATATAGAATTCCAAATACACAGGACCAGAGAAGAAAGTCACCACAATACATCATCGTCAGGATGTCAAAAATACAAAGTGAGGAAATAATCCTAAAAGTTGCATGAGGAAGACATCACCTTACATACAAAGGCAGAAATATCAGAGTTACCTGACTTTTCATCAGCAACATAAAAGTCAGAAGAGCAAGGAATTATACTTGCTCTGAAACTAAATAACTGCAGCTCAACAGTGCTATACCCTTCAAAGTTATCTTTTAAAATTGATAGAAAAATAAGGATATTTCAAGACAAACACAAACTGAGGGAATTTATGACACTCAAACGAGCATTATAGAAATAGTTAATGGACTACTTTACATGGAGAAAGAAGAATGATAGCCTCCTCCATGTGAATGCATGAAAGTATACACTCAAAGAACAGATAAACAAACAAGACCTTGGGAAGAAACAAACACGTCCAACACAGAAACTTAGCAATCTAATTCAGGAGAAAAAAAATGCATGCAAACAATTCACTGAAACAGAATACCACTGAACAAATTCATAGGAAGTAGCAAATCCCTTTCTATGATAACGTTAAAGGTAAATGGCCTCAACTCATCACTAAACAGACATAAATAATGGACCGTATTGAAAAACAAGAACCAACTATATGTTGATTCCAAGAAATACAGTTAGCCAGAAAATATATCAAAAAATGTCTCAACATTAAAGGATTCAAACTACCAAGCAAATGGAAAACATAAACAAGCAGGCATAGCTACCCTTATATCACATAAAGTAAACTTCATGCCAAAACTAATTTGAAATTAGAAGAGTTTAAAAAAGGACACTACATACTAATAAAGGGAACAATTTATCAATAAGACATAGAAACATAACATTTATGCATTCAATATTGGAGCTCCAATTTCTTAAATTTTTTAGTGAATTTTTATGTATTTTATACAGAACATCTCTATGTTAATCATTTTATACCCCCTTTCCAACTGGAACCCTCCCATACCCTCCCCAACTGGAATTCAAAATTCTGTCATTTGTGTTAAGGCCTACTGCATCAAGTTAGTGTCCCCAGGCATCCCTCAGTGCAAGGTCGTCTACTGGGGTGTAGTCAGTCTATCTAGGGTCTCTTACTTTAGGAAGATCAACTCTTCCTCACCCAGCAGAAATTGCCTGACAATAAATTTTTAAAAACAAATACTAGAAGGGATAAAAACCATCTAGGTCCTGATATAATAATAGTGGGGGACTTCACCATCCCACTTTCATTTTAGGTATATCTTCCAAATTAAAAAAAAAGATTCTTAGAACTATGGAGCAACTTGATTTAACTGATATATACAGAATATTCCACCCAACAAATCAGGAATACACATTTTTGATCAGCACACAGAAACTTGTTTTCAAAACTGAGCAAATCAGGACACAAGCAGCATTCGGTAAATACAAAAAATCAAATAATTCCTTTAATCTTACCAGACAATACTGGAATAAAAGTAGAAACTAATAAAAGAAACCACACAAATCACAAAAAATACTTAGAAACTAAACAATACTTTCTCTAAAGAACAATGAAATCAGAGATAAAATTTAAAAATTTCTAGTGACAAATGACAAGAACAGAAACTATCAGAACCTCTGTGATGCAGCTGAGTCAGTGATGAGAAGAAAGTTTATTGAGATTAAATACTCATAAAAATGTAAAGTTTATAATGGTGATATTTAGATGGATTTGAACGATTTTGAGAACTCTGAACTTTAAAATTAGGCTGTTCACTTTGGTCAGCAAAGCCACGATTCTCTTGCAGGAAAAGAATTGCGCTGTTCTGGCACTTCAGGTGGGTGGTCATTGGCACTTCCGGTCGGCACTAACTAGAACAGAGGCTGATACTGGCTTTTCCATAGGATTCCGGACGTGCGGGATAACGCTGCGACGCCAACCAGCTGCGCGTGCGCCACTTCTCAGACGCGAAGCTCTGACGTGGAGCAGCTTCCCAACAGCCACTCGCCATTTCTCTGGCTAAAACTTCAAAGCCTAGCAGTTGCTCGCTTCTCTGACATAAAACTGTGAAGCTGAGTAGCCGTTGACCAGCTGTGCCGTGGCTTTTCTGCGTCCCTTGGTGAGAAGGCCCAGAAAGGAGGCTTCCAGGTGAGTCTTGCATGTTTGTTTCTTAAGGGGCGTGGTTTTCCGTGGGTGGAATCTGTTTCTTTTACATTCCGTGTCAAGGACAGCAGTTGAGTGATCTTGCGGCTTGTTTTACAGAGTCCCCTAAGGCCTTGAGTCCGGTGGGATTCGAGGCCGTCTGCTAAGGCCTTGGGACTGGTGATATTCGAGGCCGTCCGCTAAGGCCTTGGGCACAGTGATATTCGAGGCCGCGGTACCCGTGCTCTACAGCCATGACCGCCAAATCCGGTAATCCACGACGGAGCCAAATCGCAGAGGCACGGGAGGAGCAGGACCAGAACTGTATAACCTTTGAGGATCTGTTCCTGCATTTTTCTTCAGAGGAGTGTGAAATACTGGGCAATGATCAGAAGCTCATGTACTATGAAGTAATGATGTCAGTATATCACGATGTACTCTCACTGGGAATTCCCGTGTCCAGATCCTTCCAAGAGTCCAGGACAACTCGAGAGCCCTGGAGAGGTTTCTTGTTTAACATGTTCCAAATGTTAATGGGAAGGAATAATGAACTGGTTCCGGGTCCTTCTTCTACAAACCGCACTGAGGGTGAACCTTCTGGGCGTAGTGATTTGGTACGAGTATTAGAGGAGAGGCCTGAGCAGGGCAGTTTGGTAAGGGGATCACAGGAGTGGCCTGGGCAGGGCAGTTCGGTAAATGGATCACAGGAGAGGCCTTCTCAAGGCAATCCTTGCACCCCAGTGGAACACAGATGTGAAATGTATGAGGCAATTTTGAAAGAGTTATTACCCCTGGCTGTACAGTTGGGAACACCCACTGGGCAGCAAAGGCAGTATACTTGCAAGACATGTGGGAAAGTCTTCTGCTTTCTTTTGCAGCACAATATTGCCAGACCCGGTAGAAGGGAAAGGGGAGAGCACTCATTTATGACAGAGAGTAGATTTCAGGGGCGAGAAAACACTGTCACTTGCACTGCATTTGTCCATCACCAGGCCACTGATGACACTGAGATGCCACTTCTGGAGAATGAGTCTAGGGAGGTCTCTAGCACTGAAAAAGTGTACAAATGCAGGAAATGTCCAATGGTTTTCATTGACAAATGTAGTTTTTTTCAACACCAGTTAGTACACAGCAAACATAACTGTGAGGAATGTGAAAAGACCTTCCCATTTGAAAATAGACTAGCTCAACACAAAAAATTTCACAGTGGAGAAAGGCCTCATGCATGCCCAATGTGTGGGGACACTTTCCGCCGTAAATTTACACTTAATGCACATCTAAAACTCCACACTGATGGAAAAATCTGTGGAGAATGTGGGTTTGAGGTCAGTGGCCAAGGTCGACTTAAAATGCACAATAAAATTCACAGTGATGATAGGCCCTATGTGTGCACTGAATGTGGAAGAGTCTTTGTCTATAAGTCACAACTTGCAAAACACAAGGAAATTCATAGCAGAGAAAAGTCAGCAAATTAGCAAATTCTTCAGGGGGAACTCTAGCCGTGTCCACCACAGTTATCACACAGTTAAAACACAACTAGAATTTTATATATTTGGACATTTGCTCTGGGGAGATTTTATACATGTTCCTGGTATATGGAATGCTTTCAGATTTCTAATATTCCCAAGCCTCTTTTCTGAGTTATTTTTTGCCAGTTTCCACTGCATACATGACTCCCCTTCTATTAGCAGTTAAGAGACTCAAATGTGTGTCCTTCCCTCCAGTGTACACAGGGAAGGCAAATTTCTGTTTCCTGGGGAGGATTTTGAGTTTTCTAAACCTACTAGAGTCTTCTCGTTCTTAGCCCTTTGATGACTTTACTGTGAACATGACTCTAATGCTGAAAATACTAGAGCTGGGATCTGTTGCAAGTGTTCAAATGTTTCCTGTCTTCATGTATTGTTGATTCTCTGTATGATAACCAATGTGGTTTCATGGGCCATTGATTCTATGTGTGATAACCAAGGTGGTTTTCTTCCACCTCCAAATCATCCTGCCTTGGAACTTATTGTTCTACACTGATGTGTTTTATGGAATGACTTGTACTGTTGGTTGTTTATTGTTGTTTAAACTTTCATACTATTCTTTTTACTATGTAGAGTTTATTGGGAAAAGAAATATGGTTTTGTGGTGTGAAAGGACGACCTCCTTTTGTGGGGGCCCAAAAGTTTGTGTCTTAGAATAAACAGCAGGAGTGCAGAAAATGACTTCCTAGCTGTAATTTTGCATAATTGGTTATATTACTTAAACTTTATTAGGACAAATTGTAGCACTTTCTGGAACCAGTTTTGTGACTTGTGTATCAGGGTCTTCTGAGAGCCCTAAGTACACCCTGATTAAGGGATGTTTGGTGTGACATCCTCCAGTGTTTCTGGAGACACATGGCTTAGGGGAGGGGTCACTAAATTGCCGTGTTTTCTGACATTAACATTTATCAGTGTTAAAAATGTAAGTTTTACTTTTCAATGTTAAAAAATTCGGATTTTAGTATAGCCGTGTTAAATGTGTTACTTAGAAATACTAAAATAGGATTGAGGAAATCTTAATTAGAACTTCTGTCAGAAAAAGAAAAGGACAAAGAACACAATTTAGATTTAAGGAAAAGGGGACTGGAGGTGGGATATAGTTTGATCAATGACCTGGTTTAGATGAGGTCCTAGTGCTAAGAAATAAGTACAAATAATTTATACAGCAACACCCTGTAAAGTGACACAGGGACTGTAGCAAATTAGAGTTCATGATTGTAGTCTGAAGAATTGCACATTTAAATTTCTTAGGATTATAGTAGCGTTGAAGGAGGGGAGAAAATTTTCTTAGGATTTAGGAACTCTTTGCCTCCTAAGGCTGAGTAGAGTATCATAGGTATTTGTATTGGCTTTTCTAAATTTCTTTATCTGCTGGACTCCTGAATATGAAACCATCACTGCGTAGACAGGAATACCAGGAAAAAGTAATAGAAATTCTGTAGTTCCGGGATGGGTCTTTTGTTACTCAGCCAGGTTTTGTATAGCCATGACCTTGTTTGGTTTCTTTTTACTGCCATAGAATCCTAACTGACCATCTTAGTGTATTTTCATGCTGTTTTGGCTGCCTTCTTAAAGCAATGATAATTGTTTTGAGATTAATTACTTTTGTTAACAATATGCTGTTCATTTTTCTTCCTGAGTAATGATCATTTATGGTGGTAATGCTGCAACTTTGTATCATTAGTTACTGATTATGTGCATTGTTTCCAAGTTTTGAATATTAAAATAAAACTGCTCTGAAAAGCAAAGGCTCTTCATTGACTTTGTAGAGCCAGTTGCCTTGCAAAAGAAAGGCTCAAGACCAAACCCCATTACTCACAGTATTTCCCCATTGCCATTAAAGTTTCAGGCTATAGCATAACTAAGAGGAAAATTTCAAGGTGGAGAAGGAAGAGCAGACTTACATACAACAGAATTGCAAGCTTTTGCTAATTTGCATCACCAAGAAATCAGAACTTATTGGAGAAATGTTTTTGGAGTTTTCTGGAGGGAGAAGTATAGAACATAAGGTGAAATCACATAAAATGGACCTTTCCATTCATATTACGCAATACCGAGAAAATTAACTAATACAGATTAAAGATTTAGTTTGGCCTACAATTATGAGGTTCCTGTTCTTTATGGAGTATCCCAGTTGTTTTGGGTCTCTAATGAGACAGTGCATGCTGATAGAAACAAGTGGTACAGCATGCTGATGGCCTCACCAAAAATTAAGCAAAAAGGACTGAGGCCTTCATTTGCCTTTGAGAGCACACCACGAGTGACATAGGAGCCTCTGATTTGGATATTATATGTTTATTAATATATTATTTAGACACAAGAACATACAAATAAAATGTATTTCACCTATTTTAATGGTATTAATTTCCCATTATCCTATCTTAGAGATTTGGTTTTTAAAAATATTTTATTTATTATTTTTATTTTTATGCATATGTATGTATTGCCTGTATGTAGGTAAGTGGACTCATGTCGTGCAATGCCCACAGAGGTCGAAGAGGCTGTCAGATTCCCTGGGACTGGAGTTATGGATAGTTGTTACCTGTCATGTGGGTGCTGGTATACGAACCTGCGTCTTCTGCAAGAACAACCAGTGTTCTTAAACACTGAGCCATCTCTCCAGCCCCAAGATTGTTTTTCTTCGAGATACAGTCTCATTATGTAGCTAGGCTACCCTAAAAATTGTGGCTGAAGGGAGTCCTCTGCCTTAGCCTGAGTTTGTAGGAAAACTTGTGCTAGCCACTACACCAGCTAGGCTCTACTTCTGAAAATGTCCATAGCACCATAATGAATACAAATCTCTGACACATGGTCATTCAGTATCTTAACTACATCATTAGCTCAGATTTGGTATTAAATGGATCAGAGGAAACAGCTTGAAGTGTACCTTTTAAGTGTCCTTAATAACTAATTAGTTAAAATAATGTGTGGGTTAAGCAGTCACAAAAAAAAATTCAAATGCATTTTTAGACTATCCTTGAACTGAATTTTCAGTATCTTGGAAGGATGGGTCTTGCAAATGGGTTTTCTTATGGTTTGGTTTTCATGTATGTTCACCACTAGGACACAGCTAAGGAAGACTAACAGATGGTAGGGCAAACCCAAGCTGCTGTCCCTCAGAGTGTCAGCTTACCGCTTTTTGAAAATGTCTGCATGGTCTTTGCTTCGTAACCCTGCCAGTTATATTAAGTTCAATTCCCAACATTTTCCAAGTGGCCTTTGCCATGGAAGATGGGAAGCACTGTCGTTTTGTTCCTTAGCCTTGAGTGAGAGCTGATTCCTGATGATTGTGTTCTGCTTGTTCCCAGCAACTAAGTAGCCAAATTTCACAATAAAATTCCTTCAGTTTCAATACCTTTAAAAGAATGTATTCTGGCTATTTCCCAACTGATAAATGGAAGTTAAACCTCTGAAAGTAATAAAATAAGTTAGTAACAATTACAGCTAAATATATCTAAATCATAGGCTCTCCAGAGAATAGCTTACTCAGAGTAGTTGAAGTCAATTTAATGAAGGTGCTACTTATACAGTTGAGGAAAGAATTAAGAAATCCATTAGAAAAGATAATAGATCCAGAGACTAACAATAATGAGAAGCTATTCTCACCCCTATAAAGAGGGGAGCAGGAACAAGCAGTATTACTGTTATAGCAAGTCCTCTGACTAAGGACCACCCGACAGGGTCTGTGACCACAGATAAGTCAACAAAGCAACCATTAAACCTCAGTCTGGAAGGAAACGGTCATCAGGGAGTAGGTACTTGGTGTTGCTCTGCTTATGTACTTTGACTTCCTGTCAACAGCTAGCATTGGCAAAATGCAATTATAAGCCAAAACTCAAAAGATCTCTGGTAATCCAGCCCATAGACATTATCCTCCAGGGTATAGAACAGAGCAGAGAGAGGCCAAACGAGATCTCTAGAGGCAAGTAGAACTTCTCAGCAACCTCCACTTCTGAAGTGAAATTCCAGAGTAGGAGATAAAGCAGGTAAGTCAAAAGTAGCTTTAAAACTATGGTATGTACAATAATAACATTTAGCTAAAGCCATTTTTAAGGAAAATTTAAATGGAAGTCACAGTTTAATTTTGCTTCAAAGCTAGCTACCCATATATTTGCAAATAAAATGTTAGTGATCTTAATTTCCCTGACATACTATTTCTAATCAAGAATAAAATACAAAACATGGACTTTACATCTTTGCTAGCATAATTTAGTGAAATGAAACAAATCACTTTAGATAGCTTTTTGAGCACAATAATGTCAGTGTATAACAGCCAAATAGGTTGAAGCTTCTTTCTTTGAAAACTGACTTTTTATTATTTATTTAAATTTTGTCAACTTAAAATTTTTAAATTTGATCTCATGTTATTCCTGATAAATTGAAAATCATTACTTCTGACAAAGGAACCCAGAAGTAGAACACAACGCTTTAATAAGTCATAACAATGTATTTGAATGCAAACACACATCTGTGTATTTGTATATATGTTGTTATTGTCATTGCTGTTCATTAGGGTTTTTACTGTTTTTTACATTTATTGATTGATTGACTTGGGGGTTTGCCATGATATTCATGAGGAAGTCAGAGGACACCTTTGTGAGCTGAATCTCTCCTTCCAACACACAGTTTCTAGAACTTGAAATCAGGTTATCAGGCTCAGTGGCAAATGGTTTTTACCTACTAAACCTATTATTTTGGCTTTTTTTAAGCAAAGTTTTGCTGTGTAGCCCAGGATGATCCCCCAAGTTTCAATCTTCTTTCCTCACTTTTGCAAATTCTGGAATTTTGGGTGACTTGCCACTATGCATACTCTATATATTGTATTTTAGATTTATAATAAATGCAATAAAAATAAAGACCCTAGACAGAAGAAAGGCTAAAATCATTGGTGTGGATATATAAGAAGTGTTTGATAGTCAAAGGTTATTTGAATATATTTCTTTTCATTT